ATGGAGTTTGTGTTGATGTGGTGTAGAACCCCATAAAAATTTTTGCTGCATGCGGTCAATTTGTTTTGTAACTTTGGGTGGGACGATATTATTTTTCATAGCATAGACGGGAATTGAATTTAAGATGGAGGAAATAAGAGTTGCCCGTCCGCCAAGGGTTAAAACTTTGGTTTTCCAGCCTGATAGTGTCTGTTGAACTCTATCAAGAATATATTGGTAGTCATTTGATTTAGGTTTTAGATTAGTGATAGGTAGGCCCAGATATTTATCGAAATTTTCTGCTTGGGGAATGTTAAGTAATTCAATTATGGTGTTTCGAGTTTGTTTGTCGACATTTGCCGATTTTTTTTCGGATTTTTGGTAGTTAATACGCTGGCCTGATTTAGAGCTTAGTTGATTAAATATAGTAATGATAGTGTGAGCATTATTTGTGTCTGCCTTGGCTAATAAGATTAGGTCGTCGGCAAATAATAGATGCGATAGGGATGGTGCAGTCCTATTAATTTTGATAGGTGTCCATGTAAGGGTGTCAACATGGTGTTCAACACATCGAGAGAGGAATTCCATACATATAATAAATAGGTACAACGAGAGAGGGCCTCCTTGCCTTAAACCTATTGATGGTTGGAAAAAGGGGTAGGTATCCCATTGACAAGTATTGAGATCGAAGTAGTGGTAACACATGGCATAATTAAATTTATCAATTTGAGAGGAAATTTGTTGGAGGGAGAAACGAATAAAGGACCATTCAAGTCGGTCAAATTCTTTTTCGAGATCGATTTTTATCATCATATTTCCAGTTAGACCTTTTTGCCTACGGAATGAGTGGATGGGTTCTTGGATAAGTATGGCATTGTCAACCGCCCTACGTCCAGGGATGAAGCTACGTTGAGTTGGATTGATGAGCTTAGGTAGGAGATGTCTAATTCGATGAACAATTATTTTGGTAATGATTTTATAAATAGTATTACAAAGGTTGAAAGGTCGATATTGATTTATATTTTTAGGGTGAGGTACTTTTGGTATGAGTGTGACGAATGTTGAGTTTATATTTTCCGGAATAGTCGATGTGTTGAAAGCTGCATTACAAGTGTGTATAATTGCATGCGTCGTTTGGTCCCAAAATTTTTGGAAAAAGGTTAGTTGCAAACCATCAGGTCTAGGAGCTTTTAATGGTTTGAAGGAGTTAACAACATTTTTGATTTCTGAATGGGTTAAGGAAGTTGTAACTTGTGGATATCTTCATCCGTTAAACAGTTATAGTAGGAGTGGTTGTGATCATGGAAGCTCGAGTATAGTTGGGTAGAATAAAAAAATTTAAAATGAGAAACAATTGTCTCATGTATTTCAACAATGTTAAAAGTCCAGTTTCCTACGGCATCATGTAGAGCTAATATGCGATTGTGTCGACGTCGTTGGATAGTGGAGAGGTGAAAAAAGGTGGTGTTCACATCACCATCGTTTAGCCGCTGAATTCTAGATTTTAATTTGCAGAATTCTTCTTCGTGGTGAAGGAGAATATTAAAATCCGTTGTGAGTTTGTAGTGAAAAGAATTTTTGTTGTTAGGATTCATACGTTGGAGGGAGAGTCAAAAGCAAACAAAATTCATTTTAAGTTAATAAATATAGATATATTGTTGGCTATTTGTGAGTTGTGACTTATCAGCATAAGTAGATCTACCCTTAGGACAGAGGGTCATCGGACCCTGGTAACTTCCAAAAAAGATATTATATATGTGTATATATATTTTGAATAACATATATATATAGACGCGCGCACACACACACATACATATATACATACATACATACATACATACATACATGCATACATACATACATACATACATATTTTGATCGATATCTTAAAACTCAAAGCTTAGGCATTTATATTGGTCGACTTGGGGGCACATTTAGACTTTTGGTATTATGCCTTGGTTCGATTTTTACTCCAATATTTACTCAAACTTTTATTCGACCCCTTCAATTTCAAATCTTAGGTCTACCTCTGCTGGTGAGAGCCTTAATAGTTTGGAATTTCCTTATTGTTGAAACAGGTCATCTGTCATTAACACACACACACACACACACACAAACACAATTTACAGACTACACAGAACAAAAATAAGATCAACTGCTCAATAAATGGGTGAAAATTATTTACATTCCCCAAGTTTACTCTAAAAATCAAACTTATCCTTCAACTTTGAACAATTGTCACTTTCATCCTTTCATCCTACACAATGTCTATTTTACCCTTGACATTTCTTTTTTTTCTTTTTTAATATTTTTTAATGCATGTAATTATTCGTATGTTAAAAATATTATATCTTATTATATATTTGATCTAAGTTCACTAACATTATAAATAAAATAATCATATTATAAATTTATTATAAAATGTATTGCTACTTTATTATTATTATTATTTTAATATTATATATATTAAAATACAAATAATATATGTCTTTGTGCGTGTGTAATTTTAAGTTTCACAATTTTTATTATTTTCTATGGGTATATTAATTTTTGAGTTCTAATTGTTATTACTAGAGTTTAAAAAAAATATAATTAAAGTTCAATGTAAAGTGTAAATAGATAGTACATCCAATACTCTACAACTTTACTCTCTCAAACGGCTATTAACGGCTAGATAAGCGACTGAACCACACGCTCTGACGGATGGAGCCTCCGGGCAACGCTAATTAGGCGCACCCGAAACACTTAGAGCCTGTTTGGATTAGCTGATTTGAAGTAGCTGATAAGCATTAGGTGCTGAAAAGCACTTTAAGTGCTGAAACTGATTTAATAAATAAGCAGTTACGTGTTTGGGTACAAGTGCTGAAATTGATAATAAGTTGCTGCAGTATTTGATAAAAAAGTGCTGATAAGTTTTTTTTTTGGGTTAAAATGACTTAATTAACCTTAGAACTGTTTACACTTATAAGGGTGTAACTTTTTCAAACTTTTAGATTCCAGATCGATTCAAATACCAAAGATTCTATTTGTCATTTTATTTTAAATACAATTGTGCTTAGATAAAATAATTTTTATGTTTAATATAATTTATTTTATGATAATCATATAATCATAAGTTATAATAATTAATAAATTGACAAAAGATTCTTAGTAAAAATAAACCTAAATAGAATAAAATATTTGAAGAGAAACAAACACTATCTTCATCACCACAACACTTAGAAAGCAATACACCAAAAATTTGATATGTCTATATTTATTACATACAGTTCAAAGATTAATACACAATCACATAGATACAAATATGCAAAGGAATAAAGCATTTACTTATCTTAAATAGTCAATGAGAATTGCGGACTTAAAGAGGCGGGGGGGGGGGTGT